TTAAACAATAATATGTAAAAATAAAATAATAATAAATGAACCCAAACTTTCATTTTAAAAAACAAGGCAGTTTGAGAGATGTATACTATTTCAGTGTTAAACAATTATAGAACAAATTGAAAATTAGAGAATGAAAAATATAAATTAGTAAAAAAAAACAACCAAGGTAACTAAACAATAACATATAAAGTAAAGTAAGGGGAGGCATAAACTATGTCATCTTTAAATGTACTGTATAATTAAAACTACAGTCCTATCAATAATATTTTTTATTTAATTAATTAAGCTTGAAAATGGGTATTTTCAGTGGCACCTCTCCTTTAGGTAAATGTCATTACGAGGCAAGGAGGGGGTTTGTCTTTAGGGTTAAAAAAAATACTGCAACCTGAAGGATTGAACCCAGGACCCTGAAAGTGGTAGCACCTTATCCACCACAAGTCATGTTTTTGTTTCTTTTTAAAGACTAAGTTACCCACCATCCTCATGATGTAATGGATTCTTCTTTGTCACCAGAGTTGACTTTTGTTTTGGCCTGGTGTTTGCTGCCCTCATAAAGTCCAGAGGATGGTTATTATTTTCAGATGGTAGCGGTGTTGTTGTGTGATTCATATCACACATGGGCTTGAAAAATAAAAAAATCAAACTCATAAGAAACTAAGTTAAATATACATAATTTTCATAATATTCCTTACCAATTAAATTGCTATATAATAATATATAAAAGTACTGTCCTAATATGAAGCACCTTAGCTAGGTTATAGTGATGATGATGATGATGAGGTTAATTATAGTGATGAAGATAATGATGATGATTATGATTATGATGATTATACTTATGGTGATGAGGATGATTCTGATGATGATAATAACACTGACATTCAAGTTTTATAATTCAATATTTTGTTGGCAAAATTGTTAATGACTACATTTCTCTGTTGTTGATGTACAGTATGTTTTGTATGCCAGGTTCAATGAACATTTCTATCTTTGTCTTTTGCATATGAAAGGACTAATAAAAATAACACAGATCAATTTATCTAATTGTATTATGATAACAACCCTAATAACAATGACTTACCTGATGGAATGATATACTATCTGCAGGTAATAATTCAGAACAGAATTCACAAGGTAACATCAGAATATCATCACTCCTAGACACAATAAAAAAAAGTACCATTATATAATTCAACAATAGCAAATATTTATGGCGATAATAATAAAACAATATTCATATAGTGCCTAATGGATCACAGATCCCTCTAAGCACTTTACATATATGTTAAACGATAGTGAAAAACTATTCCCCACCGGACACCAACCCGGTATTTCTGAGTTTAGGTTTCAGGGGCAAGGAATTACAGTGGGGACCAGTGACAGCCATAGTGCAGTGACAACTCCTTAACCCACATTTAAAGCCAGGCACTCACTTCTTCCGACGGTCATCACGATTCGACGGCCAGCACGATTCTATGAAGAACACAATGCCTGACGTGTGCGCAACGGATGGTTTTTAACACTCTGGCCGCCAAGCACGGAGATCTCCCTGTTTGCTAACGCAATGCTCGACCGCCAAAGATCTCCGTGTTTCAGGTTTTTGTACGGAATCCGATAGATAGGGTAATTACCAACATGTACCGACAGTTTGAACACTATCTTCAGTCTGGACCGTAAGTAGTTCGCTATTTGTTTGTTTACATTAGCGTTGTGCGGTATTGATTTACTTTCACAAAATTGCTATTATCTCAGCTTCGTTGTGCAAAATTGCGTAAATCTCCAAAAGCGAGTCATTTTCATTTTACTGTTACGGGTCACCGATTGTGATTAGAATAAAATGTTTGATACCATTGTAAAGCTAACATGTTTGTAGTTCTTGTAGTGTTCATTACATGCCAATCTGATCACATACACGCTCTCAACGAGCTTCGGAAAGTGTTAAAATTTGCTAAAATGTCTGGTGGTGGCTGATACTATTTTTTCAAACCGCTGGCGGTCAGAGTGTTAATGAAGATCTGTTCAGACTGCCACTGAAAAACAGTCGATGGCACCGCTCATAGGGAGCAGAGATGCGGTGAGTGTCCGGCTTAAGTATGCTTCAAAGACAGGCAAAAAACCAGTCTTAAATTTAAAGTCAACAACTAAAGCTTACCACTTAGAAAAACTTGTGGTTTATGAATAACTTACCCATCATCAGATTGAGTGTTACAATTAGATGGTGCCGTTGGTGGGGATGGAATACGGAGTGGAGAAGGCCCTCTAGCAATGAGACTCTCAGCTTCACTATGTCTTGCCTCCCTAGATGATTGTATCTGTTCATACTGACAGCCAGACTGCAGGAAAGTATTGCAGAACACATTCAATATCAACCTCAAAATACTTTAATAACTGACTTATGTATCTTTTCTTGTTTATTCATGCATGCATTTACTATACTTATGTCTTTCTGAAGGGCTTCGATCCGCCACACCAAAATTTTTCAGCACCAGCAATTTATCATGCTTAACATGATTTGCAATTATTTTAATTTAGATAATATTTACAAACAGCGGCAGATTTAGGGGGCCCAAGGCCCTGGTCCAATCTTTCAGAAAGTAAATGAAAATATTTTTAAAAGAAAGAAAAAGAAATTATTGATTGCCCAAAATGACTCAGAGGTTATTTCCGAGCGTCTAGAAAACAAAATTTCCCGGGGAACCCCCTAGGGTAGTCTTGTCTCTCAATCGGCCCTCCTTTCAGGGACATCGCCTTTCGGACACCTGTGGATCCGCCCCTGGTAAATACTGTTCAGAATAGAGAAACTACAGCCAATTTTCTTTAATACATAACTTTATACTTTAATTTTTAACATGTCCTTGATAATCTAAAAAGAGAAAACTTGTTTTGGACTTGAAAGCATTACTTGAAAGTGTCATATATATGTGATTAAATCTCTCACATCCAATATGGACCCATGTCTTGTTTTTATCATTATTAAAATAAAATTTAACTTGATATTTGTTAACAACGAAAAGTCTAATAACTACGATGAAGCAATGAGACGATCAAATAAAATGAGGTGAAGAGTCCACTGAAAGACCAAGAAATCAGAGAAATGATGAAGTAAGTAAAAGTAAAGTGAACAGAAAAGAGTGAAGGAATGCAGGAAAAGAAGGAGTAAAGGTGAATAGGAAATGGAAAAATGAAAGGGTAGTGGGGAATGAAGGAAAGCAAAGGAGAAAAGAAATGGAGACAAGGTTAATGGGAAAGAATGAAGACAAAAACGGCAGATTCAAAAGAAACGAATATGTAAAAAAGATGTAGCAAGACAATTGAAGACACTTACTTGATGGAGTATCAGATCCTCCTCACTCACTAACTTATTACAAAATTCACAAGGCAACTTTGCACCACCATCTTGACCTAAGTGAAATTATCATCATAAGAAACATTTACTTATAAGAACAAATAATATTGCACAGAAAAATAAATTAGCATGAATGAAACACAATTCTTACAGGGTAAAATATTTCTACCAATTGCTATCTCCTTTAAAATCCACATCAGTATAATCCTGTATAAAAACCCAAAACAGCGACATAAAAAAATCGGTTGAATGAAGTATGGAGGCCCAGAACAGCCACATATAATACACTTACCTAAAAGCTCATCCTGTTGTGCAAAATCTGAATACCTTTGTTGGTTCAATGATGATGTCATAGGAGGGTCAGGGATTCTGTAACCCTCTTGTAATATAGTATCAATGTCGCTCTCAGATACAGCTGCTTCACAATCAGGAACATCTTTGTTGGATAGGTCATGAGCAAGGTGCCTAGCAAGAAAATCCATGTCATCCGGATTTGATAACCTATGTTGTGTTGTACGACCTGAAATTTATACATACAACATTTTAATAGAATTCTTTCATTAATTATATTTATATCGTACTGCAAAATGATTGAATTTTAAAGGCTTTTTGAGTCAACATACTTTCTCTGTTGTCAGGTTTGCTTCTTTCTCCGAAAAGGTTCTGAACACGAGACTTGTTCTTTCTGTGCTTACGCTCATCAGTATTTCGTGAACTACGAACTGCTGTGGTAGATGTTTGACCAAACATTCTAAAAACATCATCACGGTTTGACCCATCTTCAAAGAGTCGTGGTGCTCTATAGCGATGACCTGCTGCAAATGCCTGGTATGAGCCCGGCTCTTCATGCAGAAAGCTGAGATTGTCATGAAGTTTATTGTGCATGGTCGCAGCAGGGGGTGCTGGCTGTTCTCTGTAGCAATCAGAATTTTCATGTCTTTGTTTGTCTTTGATGCAGATGTAACGGGAGCATGCGGGGCAGGGTTCTGTTCTGCTTCCACAGAAGTCCTCGTGGGAGGGCAGATCTTTGGCTGTCACATCCATCTCACAGTATCTACACATTTTCATCCGAAGATTGCAATCATTTTCCTAGGACGAATAGAAAGATTTATCAAGGAAAAATCCATACATGAACCATAGTTGGAGCAACTTTTTAAAATACCATGACCCATCACCACACACTAATAAAAATTATGTTACTCTAAGCTGCTGCAAACCACTGATTGGCTCATTGGATTGGCTGGTATCGTGCTTTGCTGCCTATGCGCCTATTTGTGTGGGATAAATACATGTGTATTATAACTGTAATATTTTGTATGACAGCCTAATTAAAATCTAGATACTATTCAATGACTACAATAAAATATATGTACCATCCTTAATATGGTAATGCTAAACTACAATGTAACAATTCTGTAATGTATTATTATTCTTAGTTGGTTTTCCTGTTAAGCTTTTGTTATATGTTCATGTGTGTGGAGAAATAAATTAAACAAACAAACAAACAATGTACTTACTTTATGACTTTCAAGATGTTGCTTTTCTACGCCTTCTCCACATTCACAATTCACCTGAAATAGGTAAACGAAGAAAGATTACTGGCTGTGGAACTTGGCTTACAATACCAGAATCATGGGTTCAATCATAGATGACAGTTAGTCCCACTCAAGATGACATATTTTTATCTTGTTTTTTTTTACAAGCACCACAAGCTGTGACTGTTGGAATGATACCATATGAATGGAATGATTCATTGTACAGTAACTTATTAATTTATTCTGTATTTTTATACTGTTATGTAACGAATTCATTCCTGCACACTTGCTATTGATTGACATTTAACTTATTAACTTTTTTTGTAGTTATTTCATTAGTCGCACACTTGATATTACCTTTGCATGAACCTCTTCAAAATGTTCATCCATCTGCCGGTGTGGTACAGTTTCCCCACAGTATTTACAAAGTGAGATATTCCTCGCACAATGCGACTGATGCATGATATAGTTATTTGCAGGAATATCTCTCTTGCTAAAATTTAAAAAAAAAGTCTCTTTTAAATTTAAGTAAGTGAAGGTTTCTTAAGTATTAATTATGTTACTTCTATTTCAGTCACAATATCTACCTGAGGCAGATCAAGTTTGCAACAGTGTTAATTATTTGTTTATTTAAAAGGTTAAATTGGAAAGCCTCATATGATTGCTTTCAAGAGATCTTTAACGACCATTTCAACCGTATATTTTTTTTGTACGGTTTCATATTATCATTATTGAAACTTTGCACCAGGAACATAATCTTAAAACAAAATAATAATAATAATAATTTAATAAGTTAAAATGACTAGTAATCAAATTAAGGCATTGTCGTCGTCAGATACTAAAGTAAGGCAAATTATTTTTAATCTAAATATTTACTTTAGCCAAAATTGCAGCATAATGGTGCTAAAAATAGACCCATGTTTTTGGAACATTATCAGTCTAACCTGGAATTAGAGCAAAGTACTCATCATGTACACACACTAAACCAGTCGGCCTAATAAAAATATACCAAGTCAAGTTTATGTTTGTTTTGGTAAATAACACATAAACTGTATTGTCAGTATATTCTTTCATATTTTATCATTAATACTTGCACCTGTAACATAATTTCTGGGGCAAATAAAGATTAATTATCCAACCTATTTGGCTAAAATATAGAAACCTTGCAGGTGACTTTGTTTAGCGAACCGGCTGATTTCCAATAAAAATATAATTTTATTTATGGCAAATTAGCATACCCACCGCCACAAAAAATTTCAGAAAAAAATAAGTTTTTTAAAAATTTTTATTATGCCAACTTCTGCTTAGAAATCTCCAAAATTAAGAAATGTAGGCCTACATTTCTTCCTAATTATATAAATTTAGAGCATTTAACCATCCCATTACTACACTGTTTACATTCAACAATAACAGTTTACTTTCATTTTCTCTTCCATCTGGATGTTTTTGGCAAAACTATTTGCTAAATAAGAAAATAAAATTTTGCCAAATATAAGTTCACAAAACAAGGTATAACAAATGTCTTGCCTAAGTATTCAGTAGCATATGAATTTTGCATTTGCAAACTACAAACAAGACATTGGAATTAATGGGAAACTATTCTGGTCGAAACTTGGTAGTAGAAACATGATTAATTAATGCTTGGGAGAAAATACATGTAGGGTTGGTATTAATCTCATTATATTCTTAATGAGACCTACTGTAACTGGAATTACAAATGCAAATATATAAGAATTTGGATGAGTTACCAGTTACTGCAATGCTTTGTTTCAGCCTCAGCCATGTTGGATTATGACTATGATCACTTCTCCTTCTCCAATTATCTGCTACCTGTTGTGTATTTAAGATAATTAATATTTATCAGTCAAAACGTATAGGCCTATATACTGTACATAGCATGTAAAAGTATAAAAGAATTCATACAAAACACATCAAGATTGTATTAAAATGTTTAAACAATTTATAATGAATGACAGAAAATCAGACACAAGCAATAAAGCTTGACATCAATTTTAGTTTTGCTATCTTAATGCAGTACAGCTATCAGAAGAATAACCACTTTGTATGATTATCTACAGTAGATCTAGGCCTAGATAGGCCAAAAGTCAAACCAATTATAGGCTGCAAAGAACCCCAAAAATAACTGACTTTTTCAGGTTTGCCCAACAGTACCTGTCAAGTCTTCTAAAGCCTAGCCTAGCTAGCTAGTCACAGCAAATGTCCATCAGACTGTGCACCTACAATCATCCTCACTGAGTATCCCCTGTGCACTCAGTCAGACCGGTCAGACAGACCACATGACACACAGGCAACATGTTACAAGTTACAACAACGCATACAAAATATGAATGAGAGCTTTCTCAATAAAATAATAAAACATTAAATTTGAGTTTATAAATAAAAATAATTGAAAAATCTAGGCCTATTATAATGATAAAGCTTTGGTCTAAACTCCTTGGTCTAAACAACAGAGAAATTCTGCTCAGAAGCGCAGTTAGGGTATACCCGGTAAAGGTAGCTAAAAAGGTGAACCTAGACGTGAGCTAGGTCTAGGCTAGTTAACATAACATCATCACTATGTAGGGGAGCCTTAAAGTAGCCTATCTTACCATGATCCTACCTAGCGGAAATTCTACCTAGACTAGGCCTTGGCCCCCAGCTAGGCATAGGGCTAGGCCTAGGCTAGGGTCTCGAGTCCTAGCTAGACAAGGAATAAATACATACATGGGTTAACTACCTTATAAATTACAGAATTCTCTTGACTCTCAAATGTGTTGATGAAATAGTAGTTCACATTTGTATTTTAACCACTTATATAATAATTCAATATCAATATTTATGTAAAATTGCCCAAACTTCGATCATTACGGAATCTGGGAAAAACCGATTGTCAAAAAATATAATACTGGGTTAACAGTCGATGTAAAATAAAGAACAATTACGGCCCACACAGATAATTGAGAGAAATTCGTTCGTACATACTGAAACCAGTATAAGCTTCAAGACAGTGGAGTTAATAGTATTGTCTGCTTATCCTAATTCATATTGCCATGATTTAATCGTCTGTCATTTTACATAACTAAAATAAATTATAATAAATAAACAGATATCCTGTTAAAAGACTGATTTAACCATGGTTTAACAAATAGAGTTCGGCTGTTCCGTGCCATTTGGTAAGGTCCTTGTTTTACATAGCATCGATTAATAACAAAAATAGTGGACTGTGTCAGCATCATCCCCATAGTTATTAATCGTCCGAAAATACCAGAATGATTTTTTTTCCAGCAGTTTAACATGACTATTTCGGTTCAATTTTTTTCTCATATCTTTTAAATCCTCGCATCTTTCAAAGGGACAGAGGCGTCTTTAGTAGGAGGAGTTAAGTTGGCGCTATAAGCAGGTTAAAACAAAGAATAAGAAGTCAAAGAAGAAAGAATTCTTGTCTAATTAATTTATGAATACTTTTCAATAACAGACCTAATGAATAGGACCAAGATAGATTGCGAGTTTTAAGTCAATAGAATTCATAATATAGGCATATAGGCCCGTAGCCAGGTTTTTGTTTATGGTTCGGGCAAACCCCCTCCCCTCCCCTTTTCTGGCAAAACCCTTCCCCTCAAATTTCCCAAACGAGTCCTCCAACCCAACTAATGCACTTCAGACAGGGGCCTATTAACAATTTTACGCAAGCATAGATTTTATTGGAAACTGTTAGGAAGTGGGTGGTCCTGGATTGTGAAACAATGGAAAAACAGGCCTACGTCATGGCATATTGAATGCATTGTTAGACCTAGGATTTTCAAGCACGCTTGAAATATTTTATTTTTTGACTTAAAAAAAAACCCCTCTTATGAGTCACCATGAGCTGGGAAATGTCTCATAATGCATTCTATTCTTTTAAATCCATGCATCTTTCTAGGGGTGAGCGTATGAGCCCACCTGCCCTCACTGCCTGCCCAAGTTCTAAATTTATTTTGAGTTTGAGGTACAGTGGCGCTAAGCATTATGAGTTATACTACAAAGTTTCCCAAAGAAGGGCCAAAAATCCAAAAAAAGGAAACAAAAAAAATTCTTGTCTATATTTATGCCTACTTTTATTGATCAGCATCTTAGATTTCTGGATTGTAGGTCGGAGAAGGGTCGCCATAGTTTAGTCTTTCTTTCCATGGAATAATTTAATGTGATCAACAGTGGCGAAACGATTGGGCCGGGGGCCCTGTGTGTTTCTGAAACTGGGGGCCCTTTTTGGATCCCGGTCACCAATTCTATCGTGGGATTTTAGATGTGCATTGTTATTCTAAATTTTTTTAGGCCTGGGTCAATACCTCAGACCCACCATGGTTGGGGCTGAGTAAGAAAAATTATGAATAGGGCACCTTTTAGATGGCACTGAAATGGCACTTCACAGACAAAATTGTGAATAATATTTTCTTTTTATTGACAAACTTAGTGGGGCATCGGGCCCGCAACTCCCCTCCCCCTACACACTCTTTATTCCGCCATTGGATATAATATATGTCCTACAGTCGATTTCAGACACACAGTAGGCTATGCCGTTGTCCTTGTGGGGCTAAGATGTATTACTATGCACGTCTAGATGGCCGGAAATGGCACTCACAGACTTATTATCTCCATTTTTATTATTTTTTTTTTTGACAAATTTGTTGGGGTCAAGGGCCGAGAGGGGCCCGATGGGCCCCTTTTCTTTAATCATTATAATATGATATATGCCCTACAGTCGATTTCAGAGACACATTATGGTGTTATTTATCAACAAAGTCCTTTTTGGTCAGGGTGCTAGATCGAGGAACCTATGGTAAAGCCCCTTCGGGGCCACTAGAATTCGGGGTCCCCGGACCACCGCATGAAAGCGCATAGGCGTTACGCCACTGGGCATAAATAATAGGCCTAATAAAAAACGTTATTAGTAATAGGTCGAAGATAGAGCGCGAGTTCTGGGTTGGCATTATATCAATGTGTTTAATAAGGACATGACGGAACATCGTAGGCTACCCTGTAGCTTTTCAACGAATAAAGTCCTATGAAAAATCATTGTGTAATAAAATCTGGAAATACGGCTAGAAATACTGTCGTATATATATATATATATATATGATATTGAAGGAAGTTAGCCGTTAACACTGTTAAATAAATATAATATATACCTTTATCTAGATGTGTATAAGAGATAGATTTTTCAGTGGGATTGAGCACTGTTTCACAAAAAATTGAGATATTTTTATATTATATATATATATATATATATATATATATATATATATATATCTAAGGACAGTGATTAAGTCGCTATTTGTAATCCTTGGCCATTTGCCTAAAGGAAAAATAAAAACTAAATAAAAGTAAAAAAATAAAATATATTTTCAATCGTTCCGATAGGTCTATATTAAATGTATTTATTTGTTTAGTCTCCTATATATTTTTTAATACAATAATCTGTATTTGAATTTTGAGAGACGCGAATAAGGAAAACATTCGCTGTCACCATCTGAAACGGTGCCCTTGTAATATCCATCATAGGGGCAGACAACATATCATCAAGCAACAGCAAATAACATTGCGAACACAGAGCTTTGTTGATCTATTATCATAACTCACAATGGTTGAAATCTGAAAATTGACGTGTAATATCCATCACCCGTATTTTGTAATGTTTACTTTTGTGACACCAAAATAATAACAATGATGAATGGACATCTCCATTCTGTAACTTTCCTTTTGATTAAACAGGATTGGAATTAAAGATGCCGGCGCTGTTTGCATGTCATACATGGAGTGACAACAGACCACAAAGCGACTAATTTTTCATGATCTGAAAAACTCAATACTGCAGAACTTATATTGGGATATGCCAACTATAACGGCGACCTTCAATACAAGGCAGTGCAAATCTTCAAAACAAGGCATTTAATTGCAGAAATTACTGCTTGTAAAATAAATACGTTAACACACAAGGAAGCCAAGACTTACCAGACATTTTGCATGAAACTTGATTTACTCGACTGGTACAAGGATGTTTGCGATTGTTTTTCATAATACATAGTTTGAGTGTATACAGATAACTTTCGTATTTTATTGGTCTTTGTAGCACTCTGGAAAAGTACTTACTTAAACGCATGGTTCATCGAATACAACTGCAGTACTGCGAATCAGATACCGTATAGGCCTACGGTGCCGATGCGAAAGAAATAGCTCGTTACATTAAAAAATTCAAACTGGTGGGGTTCGCCATTTCATTTTAGACCATTTCTTTTTGGCTACTACTGAATTATTTTCTCACGAAGAATGTTGAAGAAAATCGTAAAACCAAGAGAAAAGTGTAAATAAAAACCAATATAACCATAGATTCAAATCATCAAACCGAGTTCGAAATGTCGTGTTCAAATGGGACCTTCGATTTTGGGGCTGACTTTGTAAACTTTGTAGTGAAAAACTCAAAGCTATATTTATGCATTGTGTTCACAATCTGCGTTCCAGTGGTGCTGAATAACTTAGTGGTGATTATTGTAATCGTAAAGACAAAACTCCTTCGACAGAAGCACAACATTTTTGTCCTATCTTTGGCAGTATGCGATTGCATGATTGGTATTTTGTATGTCGTAATTGTTATATGCTATCACAATAAAATAATTTTTATCGACACTTATGTTATCAGTTACATTTTATATTCATTAATTTTTACATCGATATCGAATGTTACTGCCGTGGCAGTGGACAGATCTCTTGCGCTAGTGTTTATACCTTTGCGCTATGAAAGTATCGTCACCATTAAACGTCTTTTGGTGTCTTGCTTCTGTCTATGGGTTGGGCCTCTTGCGATACAACCAGTCCTACATTTCTATAGCGAGTCAGAAATAGATTTGCGAATATTTTCCACGACTTGTCTAATTGCTTTGACAGCAACAGCTATTTTCTATTTGATAATATACCAGAAGATATCAGAATGTGACCAACGTCTAACGGCTATGGGTGTCAAGGGTGTTAACTCATCTACGATACTTCTGAAGACCTTTTCAATTATAATTGGAGTTTCCATGATATTATGGTTACCATATCTAGTTATTAGCATATGTGTTTCATTTCAGAAGATCGCTTGTTCCTTTGGAACATCGTATGTTCTCGTGTACATTATATCGCATTTAATTACGATTGTAAATTCACTAATCAACCCAATTATTTATTGGTGTCGACTTTCGGATTTCCGTAACGCTGTCAAACACATCTTTTGTCGACGATGCAGTGTTTTGTCGCAATACCGGGTAGGACGCGGTAGCAGCGCCCCACCCGGGCGCCCCAGAATTTCCCTGACAGAAGGGGAAAATCCCGACAGGCGAGAAAACGATTAGGAATCAAGGGGTTCAATAGGTCTGGAGTTCGAAGCTGTGTATTTTTGGTAATCACTTGCAGTAGCGTCATATTATTGTTCATGCACGAAGTTGTCTCGTTGACGGTGGACGACCACCAAAACAGCAGTTACATACCGTAATGATTATGACGCATCACAAAATATTTTATAGTACCTCTTAGTTCTTGAAATTGTGGTACTAGTAGACTATTGGGCCTAAATCTTAATCTGATTGGCATAAGAATACCATCAATCCGGTATGTAAAAATAAGGAGCGTACAGAAGTATCGGTACACGTTTTTTTGTTTTTTTTTATAAGAACCAGTAATATTTTGCCCAGGCTTAGTTTTCTTATGTTTCAGCTTTAATTTTCTTATTTTGTTCTTCTTTTTACACAATTTTCAAACACAGAAAATTATTATTGTTCAGCTGTATATTACTGTAGGCCCTACTGTATTATAGAGGGTATTACAGAGTCACATCTATTGAAAATAAGGTACAAATAATATATGTTAAATGTTATATTTAAAAAAAAAGTAAAAACCCTTATTTGAAATTTTACCTCAGCCTCAATTTGTTTTTATTTTGTTCTTAATTTAACAATTTCAGTCTCAGTGTTCTTATAAAATGTGTTCTATAATCACATCGTCCCAATAAATATTAACACTAACGATCTGCATATATGACGATAAAGGTCATAATGTTAGGCAGTGTACACAACAGAATTTAGCTCTAATAATGTCTATTGTCTTAATATGTATAATATTTAATTATAATTTACAATAAGACAGCGTTTAAAGTTTAAAGAAATTAAATAGTAAAGTCTGTAATTTACTTAAGGTTTCGTAATGACAAAGTACGGCTAAGTATAGAGCTCAGGTTAATTTATTGGAGGTGTGGTTATCCAGCATGCCTCAATACTGATATATCCACAAGCAGTTCACTCAATACTCATAGTTTTAAATCAGTCAACAGCAATACTGCAGTGACTTATGATGAGGAAACCATCATTTGTTTATGTGATGTCAGTAAAACTGAAGTGGATGGTCGCAATAAAAAATTATGTCTAATTAAGAGAAGCGACTATTTTCAGAAAAGAAATTATAAACACTGAATCATACAGTACAATAACAATCTATCAATCAAACAACCAACATATTAATTAAGTAATCAATCAAACAATCAATAAATAATTCAATCAGTCACTCAACCAATCAACCTACCTACATACCAATTAGCCAACTAATTAGTCAATCAATTAATTAATCAACAATCACTTAATCAATCAACCAAAATTAAACGATAAATCAATCAATAGATTAGAAAAAATACTTGCATCAACTGCACACACCTTTTGAAGTTCTGTACATCAAAATTAATTCAATCACATGAGAGCAACCACTTCTAAATCGAAGTTTTTGCTGCATTGGATCAGGGGTGGTGCCTGCAGGGGGGGGGGGAACACAATTCGTCGTGGAGAAAAAAATGTATATGTATTTTCTACATACTAGTAGACTCCAAAATTGATTAAAGAAGCCTTTGAAACCCCTAAATTGTTAAATTTTTCGGGGGCTTTGCATGGAGCGAGCCCGGCCACGCCAACTTTTAACGTCGGGGACATTCTCCCCCCACCCCCCACCACCAATGTCATAGTCCTCGGACAGACCGTTGGGCAAATCCTGGTACCACCACTGCATTGGATTCGTAAACGACTTTAGGAATAGAAAATTTAGGAATAAAACAAGTTCAGTTATTGCATACATCTTGTAAATTACTGACGTAGGCACCAATCAATAGCCAACAATATTTTGAATGTACGTTATTTCTTTGATATAACATGTTACGTAGTATTAATTGACAGGTTTACATAAGTGCACGCAATCATCGCCTGCAAATAACCACTTTGTTTGCTTTTCACCTTCTAAAGAGAAATAAAATATGTTAATTGAGATCAATAATATCTTCATTAATTTTTCAAAGTGCGGCCCGACGGCAAGTTTTACGACCCGCAAAAATAAAAACTCTGGGTAAAACCCTATGTGCGACCCGTCTACCATCTTTGCCTAGAAAACCTCTTTTTTACGGTCCGATGCAAACATGTGTTAAAAGTAACATTAAGATTAAGCATAAAGCGATCTTGAATTTTGAATAAATACTCCTAAATTGCAGCTTAAACAAATCTGTAATGAGAGGGCTGAAGTTGGATGAATTCCGAACAGCGAGAACCTTTCAACAGTTCGTGTCGTGCAAAAACATACCACAAAAACAGTTTCCTCCGTTTACATAAATATGTATTTTTTCTTCTTCATTTACAAAGAAAAAATATAAAAATGTTAATAAAATAAACGTTTAAAAAAAATAAGAATAGCTTAAACCTTTAACCTTTAAAGTAGGAGCGTGCTCTTGTCATGTAATGAATAGCAGACTTCGCATGGGCTTTGAAGAGTTAACCGAGCATCCATTTAAAGCGGGAACATTTTCCCAAACACAAATAGTTCAGGGAAGAACGAATAACAGACGGCAGCGACGTTTTGTTTCGGTTGCTGGAGGCAAATTGATGGGACTGGAGAATATTAAAGAGTTTGCATATAGGCTATTTACAATTTGGTTATAATTTTATAAAAATTTATAGATTAGAAAAGGTGTCTTTTGTTCATCAACTTGGAAACACTGGTTGTGTGCGGTAATCCAGGTATACAGATGTAGCACCTCTTCGTTGTATATTCTCAAGTTTATATCTATCAGACTGAGTGTATGGATTACAGGCATATTCTACCTGTGGTCGAACCAAGGTTTTATATGCATCGCCTTTAACCTCCTTACCTCGAGAAGAAAGAGGTCCTTTGAGCATTCCAAGGGAAGGATCTACCTTAAATGAGACCTTGTTGTGACAGTGGTTGGCCCATCGCTATTTAAGAAGGCTTATATCCACCGTAGCGACGCTCCACTAATACCATAAAACTGCAGTTTGTAAAGAAGATCTTTGAAACTTTGTCCAAGGCCTTGCTGAAATGGAACAAGAAAACATGAAGTTTGACCATGTTTATTAATGGTTGTGACCCAATCGTTTGTAATAATAATAATATGTCGTTCTTATATAGCGCTTAATGCCTTAACAAACCCTCTAAGCGCTTCTCATTACTACCCCGGTCATTGGATCAAACACATATGGAACACATTGAACACCAAATTAAATTATTAAATTAAATTATATTATTATTCCATATTGCGGCTAGTAATCAGCGCAGTTGTGTTGGAACCTACCAGATACCCACTTGAAAAAAGGCAACCGTAGATAAAGTGCCTTGCCCAAGGACTCAAACGATTTGCATAGCGAGAGTTTCGAACGCCCGACCTTATGGCAAGCCGTTTTATAATTTACCTCTGAATTGCAGTTAAGTCGAATGCATTACAGTTAACTGTAATTCAATTACAGTTAACTGTAATACATTCGACTTAACTGCAATACATTACAGTTAGGTGTAATGCATTACAGTTAACTCTAATTCAATTGCAGTTAACTGCAATTAAAATTTTGTTTTTGAGTTAAGTGTAATTTATTTATAAGTTAACTGCAAATCTATTTCAATTATGTCTATTTCGGCTTAATTCGAAAACATTTGCAGTTAACTTGAATGCATTTCAAGTTAACTGCAAATAATTTCCAGTTAACTGTAATGCAATTCAAGT